AGGATCACTAAATATAGGTAGAATGTATGATCTTTATAAAATATATTGTGATGAAAATGTCTCTCCTCCAGCAAAAGAACATATGTATAGTTATATCTTTAATCACGAGTTCAATATAGAATTTCAAAAACCGAAGAAAGATTTATGTGACGCATGCTATGAGTATCGCAACATTGTTAATGCAAGCAATGAACAAACAGATAGTTATAATAAGCACATAAAATCAAGGAATGATACCAAAACTGAACGTGAAAATGATCGCCAAAATGTTGATTCTAAAACTGCAATTGTTTGTATTGACCTTGAAAATGTTTTAAATTTGCCTAGAGCTAATGTGGGAAACTTTTATTACAAACGAAAACTTTCAAATTATAACTTAACTGGTCATTGCTCGCTTAACAGGAAGGGTTATTGCATCCTTTGGCACGAAGCCATGACTGGTCGTGGAGGAAATCATCTAGCCAGTGCTGTAACATGTTTGCTTTTGAAAATCATGGCTGACCTTGACATAAATAAGTTCATACTTTGGTTCGATTCATGTGTACCACAAAACCGCAATAGTTTCATGTCAGCAGCTTTGTGTGAATTTATAATACGATACCCACAAATAAAAGTAATTGAACAGAAGTTCTGCGAGCCAGGTCATTCCAGCATTCAAGAATGTGACAACATTCATAGTCAGATTGAAAAATCCCTCTCTGCTGCAGAAATATTTAGTCCACTTGGGCTAGAAAGAGCTATTAAAAATGTAAACCGTAAAAAACCTTTCTGTGTTTACCAAATGCAATTAGGAGATGTAAAGAATTTTTCAGTTGTCTCTGGTTTGTCAAGTTATAAGTTAGTGCCTTATTCAAAGGTTAAAAATCTTGTTTATCGAAACGGACTGCCATACCATGTTTTTTTTAAAATCTCGTTTTCAGATAATTATTCACAAGCTCGTATAAATAAGTCTGTCAAGAAAGCAGCATCAACCATTGTTGCAAAACCATTAAATACCAATATACCAATGGCAGCTTGCTTTCATGCTTCTTATCAGTCTATATCTGTTGCAAAAGCCAATGATATCATTTCCATGTATTCATACATGCCTGCTGTTGATATTGCATTTTATAAAACAATAATAAATTGAACATTTACAAAACATTAATAAAGTCAAAATATTTTTAGGTTTGTTATATGTTTAGTATAAATATAAATAACATATTTATATATATATATATATATATATATATATATATAATAATATAAATAATATATTTAAATAAAATATTTATTTAGTATAAATATAAATATAAAACACATTGAAATAATATTATTTTGAAATCATGATAAAAATTTTTGTTTAGCTTGTTTTTTTTTTGTTTGTTTTTTTGTACTTTTATATTCATTTTCCCCCACTTGTTTGGTTTGGATGGTTTTCCATAGTGACATAAAGGCCACTATGAAAGAGTTAAAGCAATGTTTCACAATCTGATGCCCTTCCTGACGTTAACTTGAGTAACAATTTTTTATTTGTAAATATTTGCAATAACTTTTAATAAAAAGTTAAACTCTATTAATGGATACACAGGCATAAGAAAAATAAAATCAAGTTCATCTTGCATGGAGTTTGTGATTAGATTAGTTGAATTGTTGTGAATTATCAGATAGTTACAAAATGTTATTTCTTTTATTATTACATTTTTTTTAACATAACTCTTTCCTATATACCTTTCATAATTTATTTTATACGTTTATATTATATTAATACGTTTATATTATTATTACGCAGCCAAATTTTCCGTTTTAAATTAGACGTCTTAGTCTTGTCCAGGGCCGGCGCCTACAGGTAATCAAAGTAAATGTAAGTCGTATGAACAGTGTCGTTAGAGGCTCTTCTAAAAGTTCTCTTAATTAGGGCCTCATTTTATTTAAAAAAACTTAATTTTTTAGGTAATACAAAAAGCGTCTTATATTTTGAAAAGGGTCCCGTTAAATTAGGGGCCCATGCCCCTAATTTAGGGGCCCATGCCCATAAATTAGGAGTGTATGGTACTGCGTAAGAATAATTAGCAGGTAGAACAAAATTTCATCAATTTCTAACATGTCGTTGTTGAAAAATGTAATATGTTTACTTAATATGTTTACTTAATATGTTTAATATATATGATGTAACAACATAATATTTTTGAATTTTACTAAAAACCAAAGTTATTTTGTTCTATCTCCAAAAGAGGGTGCGAAAAAAAGGGCGTTAGCGTAATTTTAAAAAGTTTTTTTTATCTAAAAATTAATAATAAAACATTTTTAAATCTTAGAAAATACCGAAATTCTCAAAATATTTGTTCAATTTAGCTGCGAACAAATTCAAACTTTGACATCGATTTTCTCAGTTTGCAAAAACATGGAGATAGCACAAGATAATTCTAACGTCGCGATATATATATATATATTTTAATTATTTGATAGACTGCCTGCCCAAACCAAACCCTCAGTTGATGTAGCAGCACTCCGTTGCGAATCAGGCTATTTGTCAGTCGATGTAGCAGCACTCCATTGCGATTCAGGCTATAAGATAATCGATGTAGCAACACTCCGCGCATGTTTTACAGTTAGAAAATAAAATTTTTATTTTAAATAAAACTTTAAAATTGATAATTAAGAATTCGAGAGTTTTTTTTATTATTATTTTTATCATAAAATAATGGTCTTGTAAATATATAATATTTTGTCTCGCAAAAAGTTTGCGTTTTACCGGTTAGCAGCTCGCGGTGCGCAATTTGCATTTTACCGACAACCGAGGAATAGCGCATAACTTGACATTTTAATGAAAAATGAAGTATTTTATAAAACAATTTAAAACAAATAAATACAACTATTTTATTGATAATTTTTAATTTTTATTTTTAATTAAAAATTTTTTAATTAAAAATAAAAATTAAAAATTATCAATAAAAGATTTTTTCTCGGGGGGATTTTTTCTCGGGGGATTATTTCGGGTAGATTTTTTTCGGAGGGATTTTTTTCCGGGGGATTTTTTCCTGCTACCTTACATATACCCTAACGTTGTTTGAGGTATGTAAGAATGAAAGTGTATTGAAGTCGCTTTATTTGATAATAAAATAGGACCTATATTTACAAAAAACTGACCAAGTGTTTCTTGCCAATAAAAATTTATTTACAAATTTTTATTAACTTTAAGATTATTCAGAAGTAAATTTTCGTATAAACATTTTTTACCGATTACCTCCTGTATAATGTTTTTTTCTGAATCATTTTTGTGTTTCATTAATTGTTATGAATAGTAATGTTTCTTTGAGCGTTTTGAAAAAATAGTAATACTACTTTTTTAAAACTGACTTATTTAGCCATTTATAGGCTTTATAATAAGTTTCATTTTTGAAAGCTTTTTTTTTAAGATTATATAAACGCTATATAAACGTTGTTTTTTTTTTTAGAAGATTTAAGAATGCCTCTCGTGATCCAAGGGTTTAAAAGTGTTTTTGTTTTGATTACTTTAGCAACTTCCGTTCCATGCTTTATTATAAAGTTAAGGAATTTATTTAAAAAATATATTACACACATTATCGGCATTTAATTGTATCGGCATTTAGATTTAATTGTAGGGTGTCCCAGTTGACGCCGGTTAGAAGCATATGAAAATTTTTGATGGAAGCATCGTTTGCGTTTATGATGGAAGCGTGAAGATGCAATGTACGAAGAAAGAAATATTATAAAATGAATTTTAAAACCTCCTTTATAAAAAAAAAAAAGTTATTTTACGAGGGATGCAATATATGAAGAATAAATATTATGAAATGTATTATGAAACCTTCTTTATGATAATTTTAAAGTCATTTCTAGTGATAAAAAATATTTTTTAAATTTTTTATTATATGATTATCAAAAATGTAAAAATTTGGATGCAATATATAAAGAAATAAATGTTGTGAAATGAATAATGAAACCTCCTTTATATAATTTTTTTTCTAGTGGTTTCTAATGATAAAATTTTTTCTATATAATTATCAAAAATGTATAAATTTGGATGCAATATATGAAGAAATAAATGTTTTGAAATGAATAATAAAACCTCCTTTGTAAAAATTTTTCAAAAAATGGTTTCCAGTAATATAAAATATTTTTTTAATTCAATTTTTTTGAGATTCGGCAAAAAACTAAAAAATTTTATTGCAATTTTAGAAAATATTTCATCTTAAATTGTTTGAGAGCGTTTTGATTTTAGAAATAATTTTTTTGGATACAGACAATACTCTTACATAGTAAGGATTTGGTTTGAGTGCCACGACAAAAAATCTGGCGGTCTCTCTGGAGTTCATAAATTATATCATATAAAGTTTAAACCCCCCTCAATTTGAGGGGTTTACAAATTTTATTTAGTCAACTTTTGAAAGCTTAATGATAGTAAAACATTACTTAAAATTAATACACAAAACATGGCTTCACAGTGCCAATGTTACCAAAAAAATTACTTTTTACCAATTAGGTCTGGATATCAAATAATTAAATAAGGATTTTAAAATTATTTAAAAAAATAAATAAATAAAGATGTTAGATTTTTTAGAAAACAAATATTATTTTTAAAATCTTTATTTAATTACGCTTATTTTGATACCAGGTTGACCTAATTAGAATAAAAAAATATTTAGTAATATTAGAGGACAATTAACTCTTCCAAGGCAAAATTACCAAACTTTTAATTTTTTTTTTCCGAATTACTATTTTCCATAAATAAAAAACTATTATTTTTACAACTTCGTAAAAAAAAAAAAAAAATCAACACAACTCATATGATGGTGGTTGTTGGAACCTTGTTGTTGGTCGCGAAATAGGACTTAACTAAAAATTAACTTAAATTATTTCCATATTGTTTTTTTCTGCTGATGTTAGTCTATATAACAAAATAAAAAGAATAACAAAATGAGTGTCAAACATCAAGTCAAGGTTCAAATATTAAATGTTTGGGTTTGCCCAAAACATGAAAAAAGAAAACGGTACAATTTAGAAAATTGATTTTCATCTTTAATCAGCTTTATCTGATCACATTATACAATTTTTAAATAATGTTTAACTTTTAAAATCGGTGAATTGTATAAGACTATAGAACTTATTTTAACATTGTTTGCCATCTTCTACTTCTAAGAATCTTTTGTAAATGCATTATGGACATCTGTATGTGACGTCATTAAGCCAATTTATATGTTAACTTGTGTCCATTGTGACAAGTTTCTTTTCATTAAATGATGACTGCCAAAAAGGAACGTGCTCTTCAATTTTTTGAATGATATTGTTTACTTGAGAACACAATCCACGTATTTGATCATCAAAAGTGGCAAGTACTTCTTGCGCTATAAATATAAAAAGTACAAAAAAAAAAATTGATTTTAACAAGAATAATAAATTTTGAAATAATAGTTAAATATAAAAATTAATTTTTATTAATAATTAAAACATAGTTGCAAAGACTTCATATGGAGTTGTGAACTCATAAAACCAAAAATTACATTGCTTTAGTGAGCCGCCTTTTAATTTCAGATAACAACAACAATAATAATAAAATAATAACGCTATTTAATACAATTCTTATTAATAAAACTTTTTATTTATATCAATATTCTTCAGTACTACTTTATAAAATATTTAACTATCGACAATATCAGTGGCGGCAGAGGGCGGTGTGGGAGGGAAGCACTTAGAAAACAGACCAAGTTGGTTATCTGAATTCAATTGAGAATTCAGAAAACTAGGTCATTTTCTATAAAACAAATGATTCAAAGTCAAAACAATGAAATATTAACCATTTGTTTATAGAAGAACATGAGTTTGAAATTAAGTTTAGACACTGTCATTAAAAACCACTACGACGTTCAGTTAAACTCAAACGTCTTCTATATTTAAAACTATTATTTAATGGGTAGTCGTGTGCTTTGCAACACCTGCATAAATGTATGATAAGCATATTTTATCACACACATTCTTATCATACGCACACAGGTCTTCTTATCGCACGAACAGGCCTTCTTATCGCACTTAGAAAACAGACCAAGTTGGTTATCTGAATTCAATTGAGAATTCAGAAAACTAGGTCATTTTCTATAAAACAAATGATTCAAAGTCAAAACAATGAAATATTAACCATTTGTTTATAGAAGAACATGAGTTTGAAATTAAGTTTAGACACTGTCATTAAAAACCACTACGACGTTCAGTTAAACTCAAACGTCTTCTATATTTAAAACTATTATTTAATGGGTAGTCGTGTGCTTTGCAACACCTGCATAAATGTATGATAAGCATATTTTATCACACACATTCTTATCATACGCACACAGGTCTTCTTATCGCACGAACAGGCCTTCTTATCGCACGAACAGGGCTTCTTATCGTACTAATGTCAATATGATTTTATTGGCAACACGCCAGCTAATGAAAGAAAAATATTAATCAAAAAACGTATTTAGAAAATCAATATCTAAACTTAAAATTCGAACTTAAAAACAGTGTGCACTTGTTGTAAAAATCATGTAAGTATTTTGAAAGAGATTTATTAATTGATTGTTATTGTTAATAGTTAGTTAAAAGTTATTAATAATACTTGATCCATTGAGACTTTTAATATGAAATCAACTAATAAATTCTTAAAATAAGTTAATAATTAAACTCATTATTCAGAAAATAAATATATTTGAACTTATAACTTAAATATATTCGAACTTAAAGCTTAAATATACTCGAACTTAAAATTTAAATATACTCGAACTTAAAAGTTAGACATGGTTCGGAAGGAAAAAAGCAGACATCAATACAGCACAGAAGCAGACATCAATACAGCACAGAAGCAGACATCAATACAGCACAGAAGCAGACATCAATACAGCACAGAAGCAGACATCAATACAGCACAGAAGCAGACATCAATACAGCACAGAAGCAGACATCAATACAGCACAGAAGCAGATATCAATACAGCACAGAAGCAGACATCAATACAGCACAGAAGCAGACATCAATACAGCACAGAAGCAGACATCAATACAGCACAGAAGCAGACATCAATACAGCACAGAACGACTTGCTAAAAAAAGTGAAAAAGAGCAACACTTTTGTCAGGTGAGCAATGCACAATATCTTATTTTTCTATCGAACGTAGGCTTACCATTTTTCTATCGAACGTGGGCTTACCATTTTTCTATCGAACGTGGGCTTACCATTTTTCTATCGAACGTGGGTTTACCATTTTTCTATCGAACGTAGACTTACCATTTTTCTATCGAACGTGGGCTTACCATTTTTCTATCAAACGTGGGCCGTTACCAGCCGAATAAATTTTGATGAAATAATCACATTTGAAAACTTTAAAGTGAAAAAAAATTAAAAAGCTTTGAGAATTTGATACAGGGACATAGTATATTATTGGTATAGTGTTAATTAAATATACTTTAAATTGTGAGTTTATCAATAAAGGTTATGTATTCATTATGTATGACATATTGACACTATTGCTTTTATATATAACAATTGATACTTGCGGTATTGCGGTAGTTTGTTTTAACACATATCCTATTTTAGCCACCAGTTTATAGGGACTATTTAGCACAAAACAAACTGGAAATTTTTATTGTTCCCACCTTTTGAATTTTTCATATCCACATTGTATGATTGCCACTATAATACTAAAATTATTGTCATAAATAAAATAAGAGAAATTTATTCCTATTATTTTTTTCTAACAATTGAAAAAGTCGCAAAGTTGAAACTTTTTGATTATCAAACAATGTCATATAAAAAAATTTAATGCGCTGAATAAAAAGGAAATGAACCTTAAAGCTCAAATTAAACATAAGGAAAAAAAAAATATCAGTTATAAAACGTCAGCTAGTATTTTATTTTAATGTATTGGGTTATGGCAAGTAAAAACATTTCATTTAACAACAAAATTTTATAATCCTTACCTTCAAAATGAATAAATCCATCTACTTGGTCAATATATCCATTCATTGTACCATTGGAAATCATATGAGAAGCAATGCGTTCTGCCTACACCCAATAAGTAAAAATAAAAATCAATGAAAGCATCTAAAATTTGATCGCTTTAATTTTTAAAATATCAAGAACTAACTTTAGCTGGTTTTATATCAAGCAACTCTCCCAATTGGTCAATTGCAATATTTTTGTAAAGTTTACTAACTGCAAGAAGATTATGTTCAACAACAGCTCTATCTAAAATCGTCGAGCCTAAATGAAATAATTTAGGTAAATATAATCTTTTTTTAAACTTAAAAGATATCTATTAATAGCAAGTATATAAATGTACCATCAGTAGTTGTAGCTTTTTGATGTGGTGCTAACATATCACTAAACTCTTTTAACTGTGGACCCCGAATAATTCGATCTAAATACCTGAAAAATTGCAGTTCCAATTAAGTGACAATTAAATGGATCATAATTTATGTGTTCTTAAAAACATTGAATACAAATATAATATACATTTTTTCAAGTATTTCACGTGCAGGTAACTGTTGACATCGTTCATCTTTAAACAAAGTTGCAAGCATCCTGGACCTTTGCTTACCTTAAACAAAATATATATATATATATATATATATATATATATATATATATATATATATATGTATATATATATATATATATATATGTATATATATATATATATATATATATATATATATATATATACATATATAATACTGATTCACTCCTAACAAGGCTGCAAGCAACCATTATTAAGTTGGAAGATACTAGAAAACAAAGAATAGAGTTAAAGAGCAAGGAAACAATTGACAAAAAACTAAAAAAGTTGAAAGTTGAATTAGTCAGAAAACATGAAGATGGGAGAGAGTTCCAAAGGGTTGAAGTGCAGGGAAACTACATGAATAAAAAAAGCATTTTTAGAGCATTCAGGGACAGTAACAGTAAAGGAATAAGACTTTGCTGAATGATGACTTTTATGAGAAAATGAGTTTTATGAGAATGTGAGAATGAGTTTTAGTTGATGGAACTTGAGATGATAACTCCTTTGAGCAGTGGCCATGATAGTATTTGTAGAAAAGAGAAAATGATAAAACTTTACGTAGAAGGGAGAGAGGCTCAAACTTAGCAGATAGAGTAATTCCAACTACATTTACAATACATTTTTGGACGTTGTCTAGAAGAGAAAGAGCATCATTAAAAGAATCAGTCCAAATATGACAACAGCATTCCATACAGGGACAAATAAAAAATTTGTATAGGTAGAGAATAGAATCAGGAGTAAGAAAATGGCAAGCATGATAAAGAGAAGCCACCATAGTGGATGCTAATTAAGCAATTGATTGTGTATATGGTTTCCATGAAAAGTAAGTAGTAAACAATAATCCAAGAAGACGAAAAGAAGAGGACTCAGTGAGGAGAACTGCCATTCATTAATATAGGAATGTTGAGAGTATTGCTATAGTTGTTTGCAGTAAACTAATAACTGAGGTTTGCTGTTAAAATTTACAAGCCTCTGCAAGCCCCAACCTGTTACAGAAGTATCATCTCATCAGATTCAAGATCGGTTGGCTGTTCTAAGCAATCAAAAAAAGAAGACTTTTTTTCAAGACAGGAGTTGAGTCATCAGCAAAAAGAGCTATTTTAGATATAAGATTGTTGGGAAGATCATTAGTGTAGATTAGAAACAAAACAGGACCAAGGATAGAACCTTGAGGTAACCCAGAAGTTACTGGCAATTAAGAATAGTGTTGGCCTTTGAGGATGACTTTAATAAAGCTGTACTATAGCTTGCTATATGACTTTTTATAAAAAAAAGTCATATAGCAAGCTATATGACTTTTTATAAAATGTTTTTAATATAAAATATATTTAATTAAAGATTTAGGATTTCTTAATAAATTTAAGACTTTGATTAAGCAATATTTATAAACTAAAATAAAAACCTGCAGAAGCTAATATTGTGCATATTAGAGCATGTCTTAAAGCTTCCATTCTTTCTGTTTCATGAACCCGAGTGTTATAAGACAATTCATTATACCGCTGTGCAGCTTCAATAAATTTTCGACGATAATCCAGAACTCGAGCATAGCAAACCTAAAAACTTTGTAAATTTATAACCTGTTATAAAATAGATCAGCTAAATATTTATACATATATATATATATATATACAGTTCTTTTTTTCTCCTAGAACGCACCGGAACCGCATTCCGGCACCTTTTTTTGATAATTTTTTTTTTATTATTTAGACATTTTTTTCTCTGTAAAATTATATAATGAAATTAAATCATTTTAAAATATATTTAAAGTTGTTTAATTAAAAAATGTCAGATTAAAACATCCTTTACAGATTTGAAAAAATTACAGCGCTGCATTTCAGAACCTATTGTTTTTTAGAAATTAGGTAAAAACTAAATTTGCTTGAGAATAATTAATTTTCTTCATTTCTTAATAAACGTTAGTTTTCTTGACGCCAATTTGTTCGTTTCAATCTTACAACCATAGGTGATTTAAAAAAATTTTCAAGAAACTATTGTTTCTGTGCAGTGTTTGTTTGAGTATCAATCCAATAATTCTTTACTACTTAAAAAAGCTCTTTCTTTAAAACCTTAACATTATGCTATTTGGAACTGTAATTTTTATTAAATCATTAATGAATTTCCTGCTATCAGTGTTTTATATTCAAAGTTTTAACTTAATTTATTAGAATCACATTTATATTTTTATATCACAAGTGATATAAAAATATAAATTAAGCAAAAAAACAAAAAACTAAAATGAAAAAAAACTACTCGGTGGACTTCCCTGGTTCAGAAAAAAATTAAATTAAGTGCAGAAGAAATCAAAATTACAATATCAGATCCACTTTCTGCACGCAATTACACTAATTATAGCTGGCCAAGTTGTTGGACTTAAAAGCAAAAAACAGAGTTTTGTTCCAAAAACAGGTGGCTTTGTTTTTGACAAAAAAAGCTTAGATGCACTACCTGCCAAAGAGTAAAACCACTTGGCATAGAAGTTAAGATAATAACGAAAATATCAAAAAAATGGTCCAAATATGAAGTTTTTATTATGGCGAAGATAAAAAGCAAAGAATCTGCTGGATTTCAAGCTGCATTAAAGATAGTAGAAGTTTAAAAAGAGACTCTTTCAAAAATATTTAAAAGTCTTTAACGCGTGAGAAAGTTGTAACAGCAAACATTTTTTGATCTGCATACAAAGTTGCAAAAGGAATCCAGCCCTTTAATGCCCATTGAAATGGAAATTAATCTTCAAGAAATTAACGGAATTGAAATAGGTCGTATTCTCTATTTTTACTAACGCATTATTAATATAGACAATCATATAGGAAACGAAATGAGGAAAAAAAATTATTGCAGGGGTCAATGTTATAAAACTTTTTATTGGCGTAAAATGCTAGCAGCTGTAAATTTTATCGACGTAAATGATTTGTTTCAATGTTATAAAAGTTTTTTCAAAACTATCGTCGATAAATTTCTACAGCCGAAACGTTTACAGTCAATAAATGTTCCGGAGGAGCGACCTATGGAAATTTTTGCTGAAGATCCAGAGATGAATATTTAGTTGTAGAAACCTGTGGTTTAGAACTTTTCAAAGTACTTACCTTGAGTTGAAAACTTATTACAAATCCATTCATATTAATTAAGTGCACATTTCTTGGTAAATTTTAATTTCAAGCAATTTCTTTGTTAATATTTTTTACTGAATTTGTCATGTAAGAAATATAAGTCGTTCTCAAAATTTAAAACTGCTCTCATTAACTACTTTTTAGAAAAACATTGCTTGTAAATTTTGTACTTTCATTCAACTTATTATTTATAACCCAAATTCTGAGCTTCTTTTTATCTAATTTTTTTCTTTTCTGTTGTGATTTAATATTTTTTGTTAAACTTATTAAATTCTACAAAAAATATTAAAACACAACAGAAAATATATACTATTATCTATTTAAAATAGAAGCTCAGAGTTAAGGTTATAATTGATAAGTTGAAGGAAAGTATAAGATTTATAAGCAATATTTTTTTCTAAAAAATAGTTAAACTTATAAAGTATAAATAACCAGTTAATTATTATTTTAATCTTTCTTAAACTGAAATTTTTTCTCTTCATCACTATAAATGTTAATAAGTAATAAGTAGTAATATGAAATAAACACCTGTAAAATTCAATACTAATAAAATGATGTTAATATTATTGTCATTATTTTATTATCATTGAAGTATTATTAATAATAATTATAATGCAAGTAGGAGTAAATAAAAATAATTGTTGTAATAACAGCAATTAAAAGTAATAGTAAAGATTTTAAAAAGTATACGCTATACTATTTTAATAATAACAACAAAAATAACAGTAAAAATAGCAACAATAATAATAACAATAATTACAACAACAGTAATATAACAAAAACAGTAATATAAAAAAAAATTATGACAATATTAACAACAGTAAGAATAATAATATTTATAACAATAAAAGTATAGTAATAATAATATTAATAATTATAGTGATGAAGAGGAAAAATTTCAGTTTTTAATGCGGTAGTGGTGTAGTGGTAGAGTGCTCGCTTCATAAACGAGTGGTTCTGAGTTTGATCCCCACCACATCCCTGGTAGTACCGCGCCCAACTCGTTGAGCGCGGTACTACCAGGGACGTGGTGGGGATCACCACGTCCCTGGTCACCACGTCCCTGGAACTTCTCGGCCTTGAGGAGGTGAATTAAAATTAAAAAAAAAAAAAAAAAAAGCCTGATCAACTATTGAACCTCTGATAAATCATCCTCATGAACCACAGATGGAGAAACACATTGTTGAAGAATAAAACTAGATAAGTATATATATATATATATATATATAAATATATATACAAGTTTTCATGAATGAATATATATATAAATATATATAAATATATATATATAAATATATATAAATATATATATATATATATATATATATATATATATATATATATATATATATATATTTGTATAGATTTTGATATATAGAATATATTCGAGGTTAAGTATTTTGATGTAATAATACGAAGTCTCTTGTACGTGTTACAGTGCTCAATATTACTGAATAATAGAGCTATATATAATTATATTTAGATGAATAAAAACAACTGATTAGCGGGACTTAAAGTTTCATGCCCGAAGGCAATCATCAGCCGTTAATACAAACAAAAAACGTAAACAAACCGTTACAAAAACATAAAAATTACTGTAGAATGACATCTGACGTTATAAACAAATCTACGTAAAAAACAAATAAAAAAACAAAAAACAAAAAGCCAATATATAGTTTATTAGTCCCCTGTGTCAAATACGATTTCGTTTTTTTTTATTTAGTAGATTTTTTCCATTATGCGATAAAATTACATATTTTTCGTAGAGACAAAGGTGGCATATTTTTGTTGCTAGATTGTAAGGTTTACAACGTTTGACAATTTTCCATTCTATAATAGGCTTTATGTTTTGGTCTTTTAAACTCCATATTTCCTTAGATAGTTCTGTGTCATTTCTATATTTAATTGATGCAAATGATTTGAGATGGTTTGCGTATCTTAGTTTAAATGGTGTATTACTAATGCAAAAATATACTTTTTTATTACGATCATGATGACTGGAACCTACGGTTGCTTGATAGACAATATTGTTAGATAAACATTTATTGTTCAAAGGGCAAAATGCTTTATCTACGCAGTTACATTGGTTGGTTTTAATTGATTTTTGCTGTGTAAAATTTTGGAATTATGCGAATTTATGATAGATTTTAGGTTAGGCATGCAACTGTAGCTAATCTTAACAGAATTTCGGTTGAATATTTTATGTAGCTTGTGACCGGCTGGAAAATGTAAGTCAATAAGGGCTAGAAAACGGTTTCCTATTTTTGTTTTGACGTTTAAGCTGAACGGAGGGTTATACCAAATAATATTACGTTTACGTTGCTTTTTTTGTTGATTTTGACTTGAGATTATTTGTAGTTGGTAGGTAAGGTTCGATTTATATCCCGATTTTTTTAAAGCCTCTTCATACGGTGGAATAGCCTTTTTGAAGAAATTTTCATTAGTTGACTTGGAAGATAATCTTTGTTCAATATTGCGAGGGATTGCTTTTATTATGCTTGGAGGGTGGTTAGAATTAGAGTGGATGTACCTTATTTGATTATCAGGTTTAAAATATGGTTGAAACGTACCGTTACTTAGATTTAACGTAACATCGAGGTAGTTAACAATTTTTAAATTAGATTGAATGGTGATTTGAAGATCGTTTTTTTTAAAAATGAGTGTTATGTGCTTTTTGATTTTTTCCATTTGCTGACCGTTTTTGTTCTTGAATACAGCAAGACCGTCGTCACGATATAAGCCGAAATCTTCTTTATTATAATGTTGTGAAATTTGATACAGTATAAAAATACCTATTAATTCGCAAACTTCAGCACCATCAAATGCTCCCATTGTTACATCGAACAACCCACCTCTTTTTCATGAGGATGATTTATCAGAGGTTCAATAGTTGATCAGGCTTTTTTTTTTTTTTTTTTATTTTTATTTTAATTCACCTCCTCAAAAAAGTTCCTATTATCTTTATTTGACACAGGGGACTAATAAACTATAACGGCTTTTTGTTTTTTGTTTTTTGATTTGTTTTTTACGTAGATTTGTTTATAACGTAAGATGTCAGTCTACAGTAATTTTTACGTTTTTGTAACGGTTTGTTTACGTTTTTTGTTTGTATTAACGGCTGATGATTGCCTTCGGGCATGAAACTTTAAGTCCCGCTAATCAGTTGTTTTTATTCATCTAAATATAATTATATATATATATATATATATATATATATATATATATATATATATATATATACAAGTTTTCATGAATGAATATATATAAAACTTATATATACATGCATACTATAGTACATGTGTGTATCTATACATACACAATCACTTTTTAATCGCATATATATATATATATATATATATATATATATATATATATATATATATATATATATATATATATATATATATATATATATATATATATATATATATATATATATATATATA